GCTCAGGCCGTACCCTCCAAACTGACTTTTCTGAGTGCAGGATGCAGTCAGAATGATAAAGAAACAGGTGCAATTTCAAAGATAAATGGGCCTGGCACCAGCATGCAGAGGATGTAGTGAGGAATAGTGGAAAAGATAGACTTGAGAAGGAAGTACAGCTACAGCGAGGGCCCCACCACGGGGAAGCTGGCTCCAAGGCTGGGAAGTGATGACTGTGGAAACTGAAAAGGAAGACATCGTCCTAGAAAATGTTTGAGCTGATGACTGACCGGTCAATTTCGAAGACTATGAAGATGACTTTGAGGTCTGTGACGGAGAGGATGATATTCGCACTAATGAGCCAGAATCAAGAGGGAGAGAATTGAAGAACTTCCTTTAGCCTAGGGGTGTCGAACTCAATCAGAGAAGGGGCCAAAATCTAAAATCCAGCCTAAATTGCGGGCCGAATGGTTTACTGAACAGTCATAAACTGTCATTGTGGTGGAAACGCAGCGGAGTGTAGTGATGACAGCGCGGTGCGGGCCACATTGCAAGGCCTGGCGGGACGGATTTGGCCCGCGGGCCTTGTGTTTGACACATGTGCTTTAGCCAGATAAAAAGGAAATACAAGAAATTCAAAATGCATTAATGCAGAAAATGAAAATACTAATGTACACAATTCCAGAGCCCATTTGTGGAATTTCTGTGGCTTCTGCAACAGCCTAACACCATTAAGAATTGGGACTCAGGCCCTTAAGCAAAATTTGGTCTCCTGGGGAATTTGTATAAGATACTGGAAAATAGAGCTTTTCACTGTTTCAAAAACAAAAACATTTGAATGTAGAAGAGTTCAGCTAAGAAAACGGCTGACCTCAGAAAACACCTTTGGGCTGCACAGTTGGGTACTCCCAGGGGAAGTAAGAAACACAAGGACTTAAAAATGGATGTCTTAAAGTCAAAGCAGCAGAACTCTAGGGACCCAGACCAGGAGGCCAAGAACAGAGAGGGTGGGGGACAGAGACCAGCCACAGACCCAGGGATCATCCTTGCGGGGACAGAGACAAGCAGCAGCAATGGGGGAAGAAGGGAGAAGCTGAAGGACAAAGCCTGAGGGCATGGAGAATCACCAGATCTGAGGCAAAGACAGAGAGGGACCGAGAGGACTGCATGCATGGGAGGAGTCTAAGCTGGGAGCCACATACCGCAACCTGTGGGACTTGGGACGTGTGCGGGCCATCCCCAACATGATCTGCCCGAGTGCAGGATGTGATCAGAATGGTGAACACAGAAAGCATGGGAAGTTCAAAGAGATATGGGACTGGCACCAGCATGCAGAGAATGCAGTGAGGAACAGTGGAAAACTTAAGACTCGAAAAGGAAGCACAGCCATAATCAGGGCCCCGCCATGTGAAAGCTGACTCCGAGGCCGGGAAGTGAAGACACTGTGAAAATTGAAAAGGAAGACATTGACTTGGAAATGTTCAGCTAAAAGAACAGCTTTGCTTTGCTAAGGAAGCTACAACTTGGTTGTGGGATTCTATTCTTGTCTTTTCCTATGTAAAAAGTGAATAAAGGGGGAGATACTAAGATGGTGGTGGATTAAGTGAAAGTTACAGCAACATTCTCTCAGGACCAAATTGGAATTACAAGTAAAATATAAAAACATCATCGTGAATAACCAACTAAAGACTAGCTGGAGAGAATCCTTATTTTAAATATGTAAAAAGGAGACAACATCAACATTGATAGGAGGTGCAGAAGTGTGAGGGGATTGGGAAGGCTCCATAGGCAGCAGCTCAGGTTCCGGAGGGATGTCAGTTGCCGGGGGCTTCCCTCTGAGAAGTCTGGGGAAGCCCAAACTGGGCTCCCAGGCCCGGAGCAGCAGAACTGGGAAAGGTGCCCAAATAACATCTGGCTGTGAAAGGTACCAGGGTTCTGTTGGGCAGGGACAGAGAGCTAGAAATGCAGACATACCCTTAAAGGGCCAACACACTAAATTTCGTTTGCAGCCACTTACCTTGGGTCCAGCAGTGGGAGGGCAGAGTGGACTAGAGCTGCGTGAGGAGAGTCTGGAGTTGATGACTCAGCAGTAAGAGAGCAGAGGGCAGCCGCTGGGATCCCTGTGCTGAGTCACTCCCCCATGCTGCAGAAGCCACCTATCTCAGGCAGACCTTTCCCATCAATGCAGCCTTAGCCTGGGGGGGAGGGGGGAGAAATTGCCCCACCTGTTAGAAATTCTCTTACCCCACCCTAGGTTTAGGCTGGGCTGTAGTCTACAGCCCGAGGCTCATTAAGTGACTGAGACTAACAATCATCCTTTACTCAATCAGAGAAGGGGCCGAAATCTAAAATCCAGCCTAAATCGCGGGCCGAATGGTTTACTGAACAGTCATAAACTGTCATTGTGATGGAAACGCAGCGGAGTGCAGTGATGACAGCGCGGTGCGGGCCACATTGCAAGGCCTGGCGGGACGGATTTGGCCCGCGGGCCTTGTGTTTGACACATGTGCTTTAGATAGAAGTGGATCTTTGGGTGCTTTGAGTCCACCTGACCTGCCTTTGGGCTCTGGCCTAAGAAAAGCAGACCTGGTGCACAGCTTGGTCCTTCCCCCATGCGTCCTGCCCAGCAGAAGGAGCCACAAACTGTGGATCATTGGTAGCTCTAGACAAGGGTACTCAAGGCCCATCAGAAACAGCGTCTGACATTGGCCTGCACCAGAAACCATTTGAAGAGGCCCCAAACCAATAAACCCAGTTGCCAGCTTTCAGACAACAGAGTAGGTTCCAATAAGCTCCACAAGCTTATCCACAGGGAGGTACTGGCAGGCTCCAAACTCTGCAGAGAATTCACTTTGTGTGATAAGTATTGTAAATGCATAGCAGCTTGTATGCTGTGTTGGGGGGTTGAGCCTCATTGTCAACCATCCTGAGGATTGAGCCCATGCACTAAAGAGCCAACAGCGATCAAGACTAAATTAAAACAGGAGAACGTTAAAATGTACAAAGAACATTATTAGAGTACCCAGATCTGGTGATCAGGGAGATTGTGCCACTGGATTCCACAGGTCACCCACTACATAAGGCCACCTACCAAGACTGGGAGTTGTAGCAGATCTACCTTATGCATAGAAACAAACTCAAACAGGCAGCCAAATGGAGACACAAAGAAACAAGCTGCAAATGAAAGAACAAGAGAAGAGCAAATGAAATGGAGATAAACAATTTATTAGATATAGAATTCAAAGTGAAAACTGAAAGGGTGCTTAACAGCATAAAAAAAGATACAGAAACTAAGAAAAACAACTGGTCAGAAATGAAGAATGACATAGCAAAAATAAAGAATACACTGGAAGGAATAAACAAGAGATTAGAGCAAGCTGAGGATCAGAACAACGAATTACAAGATAAGAAAGGAAAAAACCTCACTCAGAGTATCAGAAGGAAAAAACAAAAAAACTAGACGACAGTTTAAGAGAGCTGTGGGATACCATGAAACTTAACGGCAATATCTGGGGTATCAGAAGAAATAAGCAAGAGATAGAGAACCTACTTGAAGAAATAATGTCACAAAACTTCCCAATCCTGGTGAAGGAAAAAGTCACATAAGTTAAAGAAGCACAGAGTCCAAAGCAAGAAGAAACCAAGGAGTCTACACCCAGACACATACTTAAAATGCTAAAAACTAAAGAAAATCTTATAGGCAATAAAAGAAAAACAATTTGGTGCCTACAAAGGAATTCTCAAAAAGCTGTCAGCTGATTTCTCAAGAGAAGCTATAGACCATAATGGAATGGCATAAAATATTTAAGGTAACAAAAAGCATGGATATAAAACCAAGACTACTCTATCCAGCAAGGCTATTATTAAAAATAGATGGTGAAGGAGCATCTCAGAACAAAAAGAAAGGCAAAAGGAGTTTGTCATCACCAAATTAGCATTGCAGAAAATGATAAAGGGACTGCTGTAATAACAACAGAGAAACGCATGCATAAAGAAAAGGGCAATAAATAAGTATCTATCCCATAATAATCTTAAATGTAAATGGATTAAATGTTCCAATTAGAAGACTTAGGTAGCTGAATGGATAAGAAAACAAGATCCATATATATGCTGTTTACAAGTGACCCACATCAGAACAAAAGACTCACACAGGATGAAAGTGAAAAAAAAAAAAAAATGAAAGGAGAAAAAATTTTTTCATGCAAATGGAAACAAAAGAAAGTAGGGATAGCAATACTAATATGTGATAAAATAGATTTCAAAATGAAGGCCAAAACGAGAGATAATGAAGGTCACTACATAATACAATCCAACAAGAGGATACAACCCTGGTAAACATATATGCACCTAATATAGGAGCACCTAAATATATTACTAAAACTTTTGGAGGACTTTAAGGGAGATATTGACAGTAATACAGTCAGAGTAAGGGACTTTAACAACCCCACTGACTTCACTGGATAGATCTTTCAGACAAAAAAATCAACAAGGAAACAATGGCCATAAATGACACATTAGAATAGATGGTCTCAATTGACATTTGTAGAACATTTCACCCCCAAAGCTGCATAATATCCATTCTTCTCAAAAGTGAATAACAGAACAATTATGTTTTTCTTGATCTTCTTTACTTCTAAGAAGTTTTCCTTTGTATTATACAAATGAAACACTAGACTTTTCATTTCAGAGACACAAGGGTCAAGGTACAGCAGTGGGAGGAGAAGGATACTGTCCTTTAACCAGAATTCAGGTATTTCAATCAATGGTAAAGGGCTCACAAGAGAAAATGGACTATTACTCCATTGGCTAAAAGCTATCCCTTAAGTCCTATAAGATACACAACCAAGTATTTTCCCTGCATTATTCAAATGTACCATTTTGTGGTTTTCCTACTGAATGTGGAGTGAAAGCTGAATAAGATAATATATACCAGTCATTTTTGCTGTGTCATCTATACATTTTCACTTTAAGAAAAATTCAAGCATAATCCATATTTTAAAAATTAGACTAGAGAGACAATAAAGGTTTTAAAGTTTTCTCTTTGAAAAGATGGTATCTTACAGTACATACAAAAATACTCTGAAAATACATACGACTTCATTTACAAAACACTGAATCAACATATTACAAGAATTACATGGTTATGGATTTTAATAAACTGAGCATGCGTTCATGAAACTTAAAAAATATTACGAAATGCATTGAAAAAAGCAGTGTAAAAAAAAAGACAACTCATATAATTAAATAAAATTTACAAAGATCCTGAGCCAATTAATGGTTGGTAACAATGTTATTCAAAAATGCCTTTAGGTCCCAATAAAATCCACTGCTTATTTCTGCATGCCTAGTCTGTGAAGAAAATATGTGAAGTTGTGGGGTGATAGTCAGAAATTATCATGCCAATTTAAATTTACACTCAAAAATACAAGTTTGCCATACTTAAAGGTATCTGGTAGTTAATGCTGGAATGAGTTGCTACTCAGTAAAAAATACCAGCCAGCTAACAAGAATGGCATGAGATATGATATGTAACAATTTCACCATTTATATACTGATTTTAGTATCCTGGTTCTATTTTGATAAAGATGCATTTTGAAGGCCTCCATGGGAGGCAAAATATAGAAAATTTATGTAATCACTAGACTAATCCTCCCTGGTAGCTATGGAACATTTGGACAGAAAGGCGCGCGCGCACACACACACACACACACACACACACAATTTTTTTTTTTTTAAATATTCCATGTGCCAATCTGGAAAAAAATAATTTAAATCAATAGAATTCATTAAGTACATCTACACAAATGAGGAAAGCAGAAAAGATACCTCACATTCATTTACCTCATGTTTCACAAAGTGGTTTCAATGCTAAAGTAAATGTGTTAACATTTGGAAAATTACAGGACAATTTTTTTTTGTTTTCAACTTTTTCAATTTTATACAATGATTATAACATAAGACCAAAAAAAGAAGAAAAAAAAAAAAAGGAAAAAAAAAGGGGGGGGGGGTGTCAGGACTTGTTTTATCAGTGTCCGAAGAGCCAAGAACTGGTTCCCATAATAGAGAATTAAGCATCAAAAGTTAAGGCAGTAAAACCTCCAACACAAAGCCATAATATTATAGATGACAATTTGACAGCACGTGATCCTCAGAGAAGTGTATGTAGCAATCAATGAGAGGATGCTACAGCATCTGCAGATCAAAGTGTGAGAGTTCAAAAACCACTTGAAGGTTGTCAGATTGATGACTATAACTTTCACCTTATTTTATACATGACAGCCACTTCTATTTTTAAAAAAGTGGCTGCATCTGTGTCACTAATGATTGCATATTCACCTAAATAAGGAGGCACTGCTTTTACCGATTAAGAGTTAGTCGAATAGAATTTTTGATGACTCGAATGTTATTTGCTGGAATTGGAGATGATGAATCTGGTAGTTCTTTACTGGGCAGTCTCTATAAAGGAAACAGAAACAAAGAAGGGAAAGCAAATGTAAGGCCGAACTGGTAAATCAGTCATAACTGAGTTTTTTTCCAAATCCTTAATCTCCTAAACACTCAAGTCTGTGTTGAATATTTTATCCCAATGTTCACAGCATTTCTTGTTTGGGAGACTTTTAAAAAAAATATATATATTATTGATTTTTTTACAGAGAGGAAGAGAGAGGGATATAGAGTTAGAAACATCAATGAGAATCATCGATCAGCTGCCTCTTGCACGCCCCCTACTGGGGATGTGCCCACAACCCAGGCACATGCCCTTGACCGGAATCGAACCTGGGACCTTTCAGTCCGCAGACCGATGCTATCCATTGAGTCAAACCCTTTTCCGCTGGAAGACTTTTTTTTTTTTTTTTTAAACAGTAAGAGATGAAAAGCAGAGGGATAAGAAGGATAAAAGTGCAGTGTTATGTGTAGGAAAGAGGACTTTGTTAAATCAATCACTACTTTTAGACTGAGAAATACATATAGAACATAGTCCTCCCCAAAGTCAGGCAATGGTACAGAAAAATAAGAAGAGCGTGGTCACTAAATAGGAAACTCTTGGGGTGTGAGGTGTAAAAATTAGATACATGGTTACATCCCTCAATTGGTTTCTGTAACACTGTTCAAAGTTTTCAGGACAACTGACTTTGTAGTCAGGCAAGGTAACTTCAGTGATGGTGAAATTCAGGGACATGTATATCAGGGATTTTCAGAATACTACAGATCATTAAATAATGAAGGCAAAGTCTAAGAAACTGAGAAATGAAGACATCCAAAATACAGACACTTGTGTAATGGAAACAGTATGTTAGCTTCATGTCAAAGATGATTGCAAGAATTAAATTTTCTTTCATGTTACCTTGGCTCAACAAATATCCGATATCTACATCCATTCAAAATAACACGAACAATTTCAAGCATATATATAAATTGAAAATAGGACAATGAAGGCTTAGATGCCACAGCTAAGACGCAGACATTTTGCCACATTTGTTTGGTTTATGGTCTTACCCTTTGTACATGGAATATTTTAAAGCAAAACCCAGACATGTCACTTCATGCTTTCATACTTTAATATCAATTTCAAAGCTTTTCTTCCATTTATCACACCCACATTTTTTGTAACCCACTCTTATGTTAAAAGCAATTTTACAAATTCTACAACTAATATAAAATATGAGGATACTTTCTATTTTGCTTTACAACCTAGTAGGGTGACAGTTGACTGATAAGAAACACTATATTCTTTAGTGGGGGAATTGTGCGTGTAAAAATTCTGTGTTCACTATAAACTCTCAGAGAAAGACTCTCTCTGATTTACACAAGGCTGAATTTTGAGGACCTCCTTATCAGTTTGCCATGCTTACTAATACTACATTATTAGTTTCAAATGGTAATTTTTTAAAAAATAAATTTTTAAATCGAGGTTTAGGGGTCTTTAGCTCATGTTTTAAGTACTTAGTATGTACATAGGTACATTTGATTCCTTCAAAATATTAATAAATATGGCTCCTAACTATCAAACCTAAATTTTGACAGTAATCAATGGTGCATTACAAAAGACATATTATCAAGTATTGGTAAGAAATTACTATGCTGGGCACTAAACTATTTCTTTAAAGGTAAGTAAAAAACAAAGGTTGAACATAATATGAATAAACCATGAAGTCTTAAACTACTTCGTCTTTTCTAGACTTCTGAGGTACATATATTTAGGATCATATACCTTGTTTGCTATTATCACTCCCAACTATACTGCTGGTCTTTAAGGATAGGAACAAAATTTTATTACCTTTTCCCTTTACCCAGTGCTAGGCTCTTAATAAGCTTTTTGTACCTATATATCAACTATGCATTTTAACCAATTTATATTACCTAACAATAAGACTGTTTTACCTTTTTGCGTGAAGTATCAATAGTTGGAATAGGCATACATTCTCTCCCAATGGCATCCTAAACAAAAAGAAGAATTATATATAAGTGTAAGCTTTCTCTCCCATATACAAATGCTTATTTCTACATGAAGTAAAATATAACAATACTCTACAGATAGATCTGACCCACTTTCAAATATAGTGCTTTTCCTAATACATGCCTCATTAAAAGTATTTTGAAGCACATCATTACAATATACTTACCACTGATTTTCTTTTTCTGTTTTCAGCAGCACGCGATTCCTGAAACTTTGATTCAAGTCGAAGAAACTAAAATATAAACATTAAAATGATTGCTATTACCTACACAAATATACAAAAACCTATATAAACCAGGAAACTAGTGATTAGGCTATCATCAAAACTATTTACAAACAATATAAGAATTTATATTAGCTCAAATTCAACCAACTACCCTTAATTTCTAGTTTGAGTGATCTCTTGGTTATCACAATTCTGTTTATAACAAATAAAATAGTTTTACCACCCTCTACTGGAGGCAGAGGAGATCAACATTATAACACAATAAATATGACTGTTTAGTTACCAATAATGACTTCTGTGGAAGTCAAAAAGAAACTTATATTAACCATTTAAGTTTTCAGATACATTTATAATTTGAATTTAGGATGAACAATTAGAATTCTTCCTTTAGGATGAGGGTAAATAGTCAAATCATACTAGAACACTAAGACAGCTATGGAGAATTATAAATTTCTTTAGTACTCTCTTAAAGTTAATTTTTAAAAAATCAACTACTGAATCACCACTAAAGTTGCAACTTTACCTTTTCTATATCTTTTATTCTCTTTGAAGACATATCTATAGATGGAGAATGGGACCTTTTGGGCATAGTTTTAGTTATATTTGCCATCCCATTTAGAAGAAGTTGTCCCTGGATAGGGTTGTGGGGTGTTGTGGTCCTAGGAATAACATTTCGTCCTACTACAGTAGGAATGGTGCACACAGCTGGGGGTGAAACAGCTTTTACTACAGAGTCAACTTCTGTAAAGGAAAAAAGAAAGACTATAGTAATTAAATAAATATGTAGTAGAATCATTACTAGCAAAAGTGTAGATACCTACTTGCACCAATGACTGGAATAGATAGTCCTTGAGCTGGCGGAACATTCAATGGCTTTTCCACAATTACAGCAGCAGGTTCAGTGTTATTCCTATTAACAGTGTTAAATTAACATCACTAAATGACTAAAATTTTACTTATTTAAAACACTTTTAACATTTTAGGATAACTTCTTTCAAGTACTCCTATTTTAATATTTCATTGAGGAGAGAAAAGGGGAGGAAAAGGCAAATGACCCAATGAGAATTAAGAGAAAAAAATTTCAACAAAAAAAGTGCATTTCTGTGTACTAACCTAGTCCCAAATATTTATAAACCAACAGCATGTTCCATAAGATCATCAAAAACTCTCCAGTATTTCTAAACAAACTAACTGGTAAAAATAAAATAATTTAACAATTTTAAAAGTATTTAGAAAAGGTATAGAAAAGTTTATGTTATCCTCAAATAAACTGAAAACTGAAAGGACAATTTTGAAATACAGACCTTTCTGTTTCTCTTGGAGGAGAAATATCAGGTTTGGAAGGTTTGTTTGTAGACACTGGGGAATTAAAAGGTGTTCCATTATCAGTGTCTCTAGAGCTATCCAAACAATTGCTATCCAGAGATGATCTTTTGGATTGAGGTCCACTTGAACGATTGACATCAGAAAGACTTTGCTGAAAGGGGGGAAAGTTTTTAGTATTTCAAAAAGCAAATGAGACAACTTTTCAATTCTGAAATACATATAAAGCAAAATATCTTTAGTGATTAATGAAAGTGAGATTTTGGTCTTAGATTGAATTGTCTATATTGCCCCTCATTCTTTTCAATAGGTTTCCAAGCTGTGAGAATGAAAATTTAGTCCCTGGAATCATACTGGAGAATTAAGATTACAAACTCACCTTTTTCTTCTTTTGAAGGATCTCTGCTGGAAGATAGTGATGAAGTTGTTTTTTTTTAACATGAGTTGCTTCAATTTTCATTCCCTCCTTTAGCATGTTTATATTGTTTGCCTGTCTGTACACTGTAACAATGTTAATAGGTTAAATAAAAACTTCTTTCTGAACCAAGAACTGTTTACTTTTTCTGAAATGCATACTATTCATCACTACATAAACACAAAAAACCCCTTTTACAGAACAAATATTTCTAAAACCTTTTCACCAAGTCATAGTCCTAATCAAATACTAACCGATTTTCTCGTGTCCAACTTCTAAGACTTTTTCCAAATCAAATCTCATTAACAATATATGAAAAAAAGATTTTATTCAAATCTTGTTTTCTGCTATCTTCCCAAGAGGAAATCTCTTCTTTAAATTACTGCAAAGTCTAAGCTAATCCTTATACCAAATATCCAAGATGCAATCTAAGCTCTCCCCTTCCAGGAATCTTCTTTTACTACGCCAATTATGGAATGTCAGAAACCATCTAGAAGTACATCCTTATTATACAGGTGGGAAATGAGGCTGGACAGCCCTGCATCTTTGCTGGGATCAGAATACACACAACCCTAGATTCCTAGTGCTTTTCATACCTTATAAGAAAACCAGTTTTATTAGCTACTGCATAAATGATGTAATGTATACTAGCTGTGATTACCCAATCCTATATAATAAAAGTATAGTATGCAAATTGTCCCCATCCACAGGGAGTTCTTCCAGGAGTTTGCCCACGGGGGCGGGGATAGCCGGGGGAAGAGAGGGAATACCCGGCCCACCACTGCCAGCTGCTTAGGGACCCTTAACAGTGCAAATTTCATGCACTGGGCCTCTAGTTACATTATAAACTTTCTGAAGACAAGGATGGAAGGCTTCTATTGCATGGTAACTACTGTGAAATATGGTAAATCATTTAACCTCTTAGGGTTTCAGTATCTCTACCTATAGAACATTTTATAAATTTATACTACACTTGATCTTAGCCAAAAGGCCGAGAAGCGATACATTTTATAAATTTATAATAACCTCTTCATTTTTGAAAATTGAGCTCAAATTAGAATGGAAAAATTTATATCTGTTTTCATTCCAGATGGCTGATAAAAGAATCACCAGAAGTGCTTTTCAACTTGCAGATTCTCTGTCTCCATTCCCAGAGTGTGATTCAGTAGTACTAAGGTCATATAAGGAATGTGTACTTTGATGATAAATGTGAGGGCTAGTTCTAAAGAATTTGGAAATCTCAGAAGAGTCAAATCAAGGATATTGATAGTATGAATGTACAGTATTCCAGATTAAGACAACTCCAAATTTATAATAGATATATTAAGATATTCTAGAGATGTGTTATTAGGGAGCTAAATGTGAAAGAAACTCTTGAATAATTGTGAAATGTTTAGCAAGCCTGTACTGACTGATATTTCATGTAAAAAAAAAAAAAAAAGAGTCATTTTTATGACTGTGATTACAAGCCCTGGCTGTGCACACTAAGAATCACTTGTAGAGTTTTTTAAATCTTCTTTCTGTTTTAAAACAGATGATATATTCACATGTTACAAAATTCAAAGGGTTCAAAGGTATTCAATAAAATCTCATCCCTATCCCCTAAACACACCTAGAAGCAACCAGTTCTGTCAGTTTTCTTTTTTAAAAGTATATATCCTTCTAGAAATATTCTATTTCTAAGCAAGCATGCTTATATTCTTTACTTATATAAAAAGTAGTGCACTAAACACACTGTTCTGCAATTTCCCCTCCTACTGAATATGTCATGGAAATTGTTTCAACATGACTTCACTTTAATAGCATATCGTATTTTCCAGCGTATAATACAACCTGGCGTATAAGACGACCCCCTAATTTTACAGTTAAAACATAGATTTAGGCCTATATTCGCTGTATAAGACTACCCCCCACTTCCGAGGCAACACCAGTTCTTTTTTTAATAGACCGCCTCTCTGACTCTGGCCAATCTGAGCAGGCTTTTTACTAGAACACAGTGTTGTCTGATACGCCAGAAAATACGGTAGATTTTCATAAATGTATCATATTCACTTAACCAACTGTAGAACTTTAAAAATTCAGTCAGCCAGATCCTAGGCAGATAATACTGCATTAGAGCCAAGGTTGAGAACCATAGCTCTATGATGATAAAGTCTTACCTGTATCAGTAAATGACTGTATATCATATGTCAAGTCTATGTTAACACTTTCTGCATTCTCTACTCTCCGAAAAATTATTCCAAGGAACCACATTGATACGTAATTATTGCTGTAAGAAAATTTTTTAAAATTTCCATTAATTCTTTACACTTTTATAGATGCTATTTGGTAATTTTAAAACTTGGGTTTTTATGAAAGTACTAGAGGCCCAGCGCACGATTAAATCGTGTGCGGTTAGGGTGCCTAGGCCTAGCTGCAATCAGGGACATGTCCGCTACCCAGCACTGCTCCTCCACCTCCGTGGCCCCTGCCCCGCAAGCTCCTCATCCTCAGCCACCCATGCCCCATGACACTCCTCCACCTCAGCCGCCCCACGAAGCTCCATGCTAGCAGCCCCTACCCTGTGAGGCTCCTCGGACTCACCGCCGCCGTGGCCACAATGCTTCACCCCCTCAGCCATCCCATGAGGCTCCACGCTCACACAGTCCCTGCCCTGCGACACCCTTCTGCCTCAGCCGCCCGCCCCACAAGGCTCTCAGCCTCTGCAGCCCTGTCCTACCACGCTGAGAGCTGGACAGCTCCCTCCTCCCACCTCCAAGCCATGGGCGACTGGGAGCCCACAGCTCCTGCTCCCTCAGCTCCCTAGCCTGCTGTTCGGTTGTCCATCAGGTTGTTTTGGTTGTGATGGCACCTGGCTTTTTATATATTAGGATTAAGATAAATAAAAATTTCAATGGTTTGGCTAAATTCTTAAAACTGACACTAAGAATATTGGTAGATTACACTATTTTGTTAAAAGAAGGATTAAATGGCTTTGAAAATGACTTACTGAATATATATTTAAAGATGCCCCAAGTATAGGGCTGGAGATTTTGCTGGGGTCTATGGACTAACAACATAGTATGTACTTTGTTTTAATGCATGACTACTCAAATACATAATATATCACCCCGCCCCAGCAATGCCTGTTAAACAACAGTTTCACAACTGATCTTAAACAATGCATATGTCAAATATTATTTAAGAAATATATTATTAAAAAAATAACTCACTCTTTATAATGTTCCTTATTTCCTGGGAATGACTGGGGATTTACATGGGCAAGAGTAATAAATTCATTCCTTTCCAAGTTTCCAACAAGCACACGAATTTTTGATTCTACTAATCCAACCCTAAAATAAAAGACAGGATTTTTCCATATTAAACTTGGAAACTATATCCAAGTAAACAAAACAGCACTCTCAGCTATAATGCTTTACATATTCATTTAAGAAATTCAGTCCAATATATTACTCTTTAAAATACTATTCAAGTAAAAATGACAAGTTACTTAATCAATTTCTTGCCCCCCTCTTTTTAAAAAGAACTCATTTATTTAATGCATTCCTGATCTAAAATACTGACATGTAAAGACCATAAAATAGTTTTGATTTGAGCATATTTGTTTTTAAATCTTTTTCCACTTTCAAATTTTATGTCTAAACTAGAGGCCCAGTGCACAAATTTGTGCATGGGTGGGGTCGGCCAGCCTGGTCCCAATTGGGGCAGATTGGGGCTAGACCTGTGGGGAGGAGAAAGTGGGAGGTTGGCTGGCTGGCCCACCCCAATTGGGGCCCAATTAGAGCCTGGCTGGCTGGGGGCTGCAGGCGATTGGCCGGTGGGCTCTGCCCCTAATTGGGGTTAGCAGGCTGATTGGGGGCGGGGCCGGCTATAGGGAGGGACTGTAGGCCTGCTATCCCTGCCACCAAATGAGGGTGGGGGTGCTGATCAGGTGCCAGCAGCCTGGGGGAGGGGCCACTGGTGGTTGGCCAATGGGCCCTGCCCCTGATCAGGGTAGGGGACCCACTTGGGGTGGGGCCTGGCAGGGGGAAGGGCTGCAGGAGGTTGACCATCTGGCCCCACCCCCTATTGGGGTGAAGGGGGGTGATCAGGGGCAGAACTGACCCGGGAGAGGGACTGTGGGCACATCAAGGTGGTGGGGGCACATCAGGGGCAGTGTTGGCCAGGGGGAGGGGCTGCAGGAGGTTGGCCTGCTGGCCCCCAGGGTGGGGGGGGGGGGGTGGCGATTAGGGGTGGGGCTGGACAGGGGGAGGGGCTGCGGGCCAATCAGGGTGGAGGGGTTCATAGAGGACAAGACTGGCTGGGGGGAGGGGCTGCGAGAGGTTGGCCGGTTGGCCCCACCCCCGATTGGGCCAATTCTATGACCACAGTGGGCATCACAGCAACTGGTCATTCCAGCTCCTAGTTGCTGGCTTTTATAGATAGATAGATAGATAGATAGATAGATAGATAGATAGATAGATATAGATATAGATATAGATATATATAGGTATATATAGATATATAGATTCTAAGGCTAATCTCAGATCAGAGGAAAGGGGGTACAGGGGAGAATGGGAAAAGGTTAACCAAATAACTTATATGAATACTAGAAGCCTGGTGCACGATATTTGTGCACTGGGGGATTGAGGGTGGGCATCCCTTAGCTTGGGACCTATCGGGGGATGTCCACCTGGCATTTGTGGACATCCCCCAAGGGGTCCTTAGTGCTGCCACAGACGTGGGAGAGACTCCCACAATGCTGCTGCACTCACCAGCCATGAGCTCGTCTCCTGGCTGAGCAGCGAGCGCATTGACACCAGGGGGTAGCTCCTACGCTGAGTGTCTGCCCTCTGGTGGTCAGTGCATGTCATAGTGACCAGTTGTTCCCCTGTTTGGTCGATTTGCATATTAGCCTTTTATTATACAAGCTATGCATAGCCCATGGACACAGACAATAAGGTGGTGAAGACCTGGGGTTGGGCAGGATCTTGGTGGAGGGCAGAAAAGGGAGGAATTAAGAGAGGGAATACCTGTAATACTTTTTCATCAATAAAGATATATTTCTTTAAAAAGGGTAAGATATGTTTAAATAATGTGACTCAAAAAGCTAGTAATTAGCCCTTAATTTATGAAATACACATATAATACTCTTTCACTAATATTTTTTTAAAAGGCTAAGATTTTCACAGAATTGGTACTAGATACTGCATTTTAAAATTCACTAAAATCAGATCAGATACTACTAAAATTACCAGTTTCATCAGATTTCTGCAACTTTCTATCTCACTTAAGAAATGTGACTGCTGCCGAAACCAGTTTGGCTCAGTGGATAGAGCGTCCGTCTGCAGACTGAAAGGTCCCGGGTTCAATTCTGGTCAAGGGCATGTACCTTGGTTGCAGGCACATCCCCGGTGGGAGGTGTGCAAGAGGCAGCTGGTCGATGTTTCTCTCTCATCGACGTTTCTAGCTCTCTATCCCTCTCCCTTCCTCTCTGTAAAAAATCAATAAAATATATTTAAAATGAATAAATAAATAAAAAGAAAAATAAAAAGCACGTTCCTCATTCTTTAAAAAAAAAAAATGTGACTGCTGTCAGCTATCGTATTAATTTAATGATTTTAAGAATTAGAAAGACCAGCTACAAGAATACTTTTACATTTTTTTAAACACTAGAAAAAGCTTACACATTATAACTGTGTGTGCTCCAACAGTAGGCATATAAAATACTGAATTATTCCTTAAGGTAATCTAAATGAGAGATTGGCAAACTTTCTCTATAAAAGGCCAGATAAAAATTTTAGCCTTTGTGCTCCATTGTTTCTGTTGCAAATGTTCAATTCTGCCTTGTAGCAGGAAAGCAGCTATAGACAATATATAAATCAGTGGTTGATGCTCCATGGTCATGTACAACAATCATTAATAAGATTTTAAAATTTTGAAAATAGAGAAAGTGTTTATGGTGATAACATATTTATATGGTGCTTTATCATTTATAACAGTAAGTAGAGAACTTGAAATATAAGTCTTACCACTCGAGATGGTTTTCTTCTGTTGATGCACTGGCAGTCAATACTATATAATGTCTATGAAGAATTTTCAGCAACAATCAGGGGAATAAAAAAAACCATAAACATTGTTAGTATCTGCTTTTCCATCTTACTTTTTCTTTCTCCCAATGAACAAAAGAGCTAATGCACGCACACAGTTTATGAAAACCAAAATATACTTTAATTTTCACAAATTAATTCCAGACATTGCAATGAAAAAAACAATTCACTACAAACAAAAAGCCACTAATACTGGGTTACATACTATACTACTACAATATATAGAAACATCACTCAGGAGTTCTGGTAACCTATTCTCTTTCATTTGAAATATATGTGACAAGTGTGACCTATCATTTATTAACTTTGAAATAAGTTTAATGTTCTTCTTTATATACATACACACAAAATGAAAAATTTTCAAATACCTATACTTTTGAAAAAAATTTGGTGGCTCAAGTAGTTTGGACCAATCTGATTTCCCTTGAAGAATTTCACCTGTGACTGAAAGACCTAAGTTGAGAGAGAGAGAGAAAATGTTAATGACTATCATATTATCACCTTCTGCACTATTGTATTATCCACTCCCAAACCTCTAATCCCACCAAATTGAGTTAAAAAAAAAAAAAAAAAAAAAAAAAAAAAAGGTAACTTTATTATGTTCTTTCTCAGAGCACAAAAGTCAACTTCAACCAGATTAGGCTGATTCCATTTCTGGACTTAATATATTTTGGAAAACCAACTATTGAAAAAATAAATACACATTCGAAAGAATTTTAAGAAATAACAGGCACAAGTAATTGCAAAATAGAATAAAATTGTTGTCAACCAAAACCTTATGGGAATATCTAAAGGGCAATAGGGCCAATAGGTTTACCTTGTTTAAATTCTTCTATCATTACTGTTCGAGTTGATGTGGACACATTGTACGTAGAATTCTGTTGTGGGTAGGCAGGGGTGATTATGGGCATGAGATGATACCTATCTGATGGATTTACCTGTGAAATTAGAAGCAGAATAATTGATCTATTCTCCTATTTCAGTTGTCCTCATTTCATTTCCCCAGAAGTCTGAAGAATATGAAATATAAATTTAATACTACATTTCCTTAATTCTAAAAGTACATTTCCTCTCCCCAACTACATTTATTTCTGAAGTCAGATTTGACTGACAGTCAATGGAAACTCTACAGAAGTTTATTTTCCCCCCTGAAAAGCTGTTAAATTGATGGTGAACCATATAAACAATAGTCTCTTAGGACCAGGGAAATACAGTATCATAGCTGCAAATAAGCATTGTCTGGTCCAATGGTTCTCAATCTTCTTTCTGCACCTATTTAATGGGTGACTTTCCCCTATGTTACTCAGAAAAATGAGCAATTATTCTAAAAGCAAAAGGTGAGACATGCTATTTTGGAACTATGAATCTGCTTTTTAAATTGTACTGCAAAGCAAATCCTTTACATATAAGCTTCAGTACTGTATTAGAAATTATCTGGCCGGGACCGGTTTGGCTCAGTGGATAGAGCATTGGCCTGCGGACTGAAAGGTTCCGAGTTAGATTCCAGTCAAGGGCATGTACCTTGGTTGCAGGCACATCCCCAGTGGGGGGTATGCAAGAGGCAGCTGGTAGATATTTCTCTCTCATCGACGTTTCTAACTCTCTGTCCCTCTCAATTCCTGTGTAAAATCAATATATTATTTTTGATAATTTATTAGAAAATATATTAAAAAAAGAGAAAAGAAATTATCTGTAAGACAGTTTTAAAAGTAGATTATGACATTTTGGCTGATAAAACCACTCCCATAGTCCCATGTTATGTCATTAAAAATCATAGTTATAATTTTTAATGACATAACATTTGGATTATCATTGGAAAAACACATCATCTGCATAAAAAAATACAGCAAAGGAAGGGAAGGGACTATAGTTACATTAGAAAGAAGATGAGCAGGCACAAGAATTATCTTTAGATTATAATTTGGAGAACTGTCCTTTTCATAAAAGACTTAATGAAATTCTATAATAAGTCACTTACTCGAGGATCCCAAACAGGCAAATTCAAATTGCTTTCTTCGGGTTGCTTTAGCAGCACAGGATTTGGCCATTCCCTAACATGATAAGACAGATTAGCTCACACAGGGCCTCACCTTGGCAACCATATAAAATATTAAGATCATTTAACTTTGTTCCAACTTTCATACAGCAAATGTTTTGGGTATTTGGCATTTTAAAAAAATTGAAAATAGCTGCTCATTTTAAAGCAATGTTCTCTGAAATGTTTTGTCCATTAGCTGTATCTAATTTAAATCTGAATGTTTCCTTTCCTTCTCATTTACTTTCAAGGATTAACTCTGGCAACAGCAACAGTTAATATTCACTGAAAATACTCCTACGTTAACAAACCCATGCAGCAGCTATGATTATAATATCTATTTTACTTGAGGAGATCTTAAATGACCTCGACATAATTAGTAATTGGCTTGTATTGTGACCACTCTTTCAAGCTAAAGATGCACATTACAGACCCCCGGAAAGTGACATCTGGTGTCCCATCACAGCCTCAAATTTGATGTTTTCAAATTAAAAAAAAAAAAAAGGAAAAAAAGAATGTAAGCTCTGGCCAGTGTTTCTAAATGGTTAGAGCATTGGCCCATACACCCAAGAGGTCTCGGGTTCTATTCCCGGTCAAGGGCCCATACCTGGGTTGCAGGTTCAGTCCCCAGCTCTGATGTTTCTCTCTCCCCCATTCCTCTTCCCTCCCCTTCCACTCTATCTAAATCAATGGAAAAATATCCTCGGGTGAGTATTAACCAAAATATATAAATAAAAAGGGAATGTTAAGACAATAATAATAATAATAAAAAAAATCTAGACATAGCTCTTAAATTTCCAAACAAATTTCCAAATAGGCAGAGGTTAGTAAATAAGTGAAAATTTTTTTCTTGGATACTTACCACTTGGAAAACACTAAAAAGAACTTATGAACTAAAGTAGAAGCTGCTGCATTTGGATATAATTGGCAAGTTCTTGCAACTAACATTGCCCAAGAGACACCACCAAGGAATCCCAGCATGTTGGAATAAATACCACGTCCTATAAAATTAAAATATTTGTTAATTATTGTTAGGACCTACTATCCATGTCATTCAACTGTAAAGAAAAGGATTACTTCCTTCATAAGACTGTTGCTTAGAACTCTCTCTCTATAGAAACATTAAAATCTCACAGCTGATGTGGCTTAGTGGTTGAGCATCAACCCATGGACCAGGAGTTTGATTCCAGGTCAGGACACATGCCTGAAACCCAGACAGGATCCCCAGTAGGGGGCGTGCAGGAGGCAGCTGATGAATGATTCTCTCTCATCATTGATGTTTTTCTCTCCCCCATTTCTGATATCAATAAAAAATGTTTTTAAAAAAACACACTAACATCAATAAGTAGACCTTCAAGCTAGGCCTCATCTTATTGATAAACCATAACCTGCTCACCATAGCCCCATAACTTTGCCCTCCAATACAGACACCTTATTCTCTGAGTTCTGACTGCCCAACTAGATTCCACTGGTATGATATTGGGATCTCCCACATTTCAATATTTACGGTTGAGAAAGAAATGAAAAAAGGCAAGATATCTGGAGAGTTCTATAAGTAGGGAAGAATAAACATTTCATTAGTAATCATATTCATGAGCATTTTAAAATCAAGTGTAAAGCTGGGGACTAACTTTAGTATTTTGCATAATTATTCTGCATAATTTGCATAACTTTAGAATTTTCCATAAAGCACATCACTGATATCACTCAATTCCTGTATGGTATTTCTTATAGCAATCTATAAAAAAGCATTACTATATTTCAGTAAACTTAAGATACTTCCAATTATATTATTTTATATCCCATTAAGCAAGCAAGAGAAAAAATAGACATTTTTTTATATATCAATTTCAGATATATTAAATGTGAAAGATATGCATCTAAGAATTAACAAAACATGGCATTTAATCTGTAAGGGAAGACAAATTACTTGTGATATCCTCTCAGTATAAATTACTTTATCCTGACTATACAAGGTAACTGAGCCAAAAGACAAATTCTACTTGCTTAAGGTTTTTTTTTTTAGATGTGCACTAGTATTATGGTAGCTACTAGTTATATTTGGCTATTTTTTTTTTTTGAAGGGGATATAACAGCTTTTGAGACATCATTAACATACCTTATGAGTCATCCATTTAAAGTATAAAGTTCAATGGCTTTTAATACATTCTTTACCGAGTTGTGCAATCATCACTATAATCAATTCTGGAACATTTCATCACCCTCAAAAGAAACCTTTAACATCCTATTTCCTGTGCCCCCAATCCTCCATAACTTAGGCAACCTATAATCTACTTTGTCTCTCTAGATTTGCTGTTCTGGACATTTCATATAAGTGGAATTGTACAATATGTGGACTTTTACGACTAGTTTCTTTCATTCAACATAATGGTTTTAATGTTCATTTATGTTGTAATATATATCAATATACTTCATTCCTTTTTTATTGCCAAATAATACTCCACATTATGGGTATAGCACTTTTTGTTTACCTGTTCAGTTTATATATGGTTGCTTCTACTTTTTTACTATTATGAATAAAACTGCTATGAACTGTTGTGTATCAGTTTTTGTGTGGACATATCTTTTTACTTGTTAGGTGCTATTTAATCTTAAATTAAATACAATTTAAAATTTAGTTCCTCACTTACACATTTCAAGGACTTGGTAGCTACATGGTTACTGTATTGGACAGCACAATACCGTGTTTCCCCGAAAATAAGACCTACTTACAGGTTTCCTTCTGAGTGAAATATAAGGCATCCTCCCCAAAAAATAAGGCCTCCCCTAGGCTCTATCTCAGAATGCTATTGCTAAACATGAGAGATTTGGTCCACTGATTCTGAAAGAAAGGGAGTCACAAGAAATTCACCAGGAAATTCAGGAATTGGATTGTTATGATGATGTTCCAGAAGATGATGACATGATTGTCACTGAATAAATGAGTAAATTCTTGATACTGTAGGATCCACAGTTTGTCTAGTATGTGTTGGCAACTACCGTACTACCGTACCGTACAGAGGTAATAAATTTCCTTTATTTTCATTTAACAATAAATGTGTACTGTATTCTTCTTCGTGGAAAAATAAGACATCCCCTGAAATAAGTCCTAGCGCATCTTTGGGAGCAAAAATTAATATAAGACACTGTCTTATTTTGGGGGAAACAGGGTAGGAAACATTTCCATCATTACAGAAAGTTTTTATTGGAGAGCACTGTTTCAGACTATGAAAAACCTGGTGCCTGAAGTGTAGCAGTTGAATGTAGTTACAGATAGTACAAATGTGCATGCAGCTCAGGACTGGGCCTTTTACTAACCATATCCTATACATTTAAACTAGTGCAGTTCCAGGTTTTATTAGAAGGGGGTTATAGTGTAAAAACAAAAACAAGTTAAAACTGTCACTGTAGGCTTTTCATTTAATAAATTTACTTAACACTTACTATAAACTTTGTTGGTGATGGGGAGATAAAGATAAGTAAGGCAGTCCTAACCAGAGAGAGCTCAAAGATCAGTAAGGAGTTCATTCTTCAAGTCCTAACTTATTCCGACTGCCTGGTTGAAACCCAAAATGGAAAGTCAGGGGCTTTACAGTTTTCACCCATGGCAGAAAGAAGTAGAATTACACATTATAGCACCATAACTATTGCACCTGAAAAAGAAATAGCTTCCCCAAAACTTATTGGACCTCAATCGGTATCAATAGGCTCCAGAGTTTTCGTGTATGCTTCTATTATAAGCAACTGAAAACGATAATTTTGCCAGAATGGCTACATCAATAAATCAACAAACACTAAGTGGTGGCAAGGATATAGAAAAAAGGGAACTGCCGAAACCGGTTTGGCTCAGTGGTAGAGCGTAGGTCTGCGGACTGAAGGGTCCCGGGTTCAATTCCGGCCAAGGGCATGTACATTGGTTGCGGGCACATCCCCGGCGGGGAGTGTACAGGAGGTGGCCGGTGGATGTTTCTCTCTCATTGACGTTTCTGGCGCGCTCTCTCTCTCTCTCTCTCCCCCTTCCTCTCTGTGAAAAATCAATAAAATATATTAAAAAAAAAAGGGAACTCTAGTGCACTGCTGGTGGGAATGCAGACTGGTGCAGTCACTGTGGAAAACAGTATGGAGGTTCTTCAAAAAATTAAAAATGGAACTGCCATTTGGCCCAGCAATCCCACTTCTAAAAATATATCCTAAGAATTAGGAAACACCAATCAGAAAAAATATATGCACTCCTATGTTCATATCAGCATTATTTACAATAGCTAAGATCTGAAAACAGCCCAAGAACCCATCAGTAGATGAGTGGATAAAAAAGTGTGGTACACAATGGTATATGTGGCTATAAAAAAGAAGGATCTCTTACCCTTTATGACGGCACAGATGGACTTAGAGACTATTATGTAAGTGAAATAAGCCAGTAAGAGAAAGACAAATATCACATGATCTCACTTATATGTGGAATCTAATGAACAAAATAAACTGACAAACAAAATAGGTCCATAGGTATGGATGCACAAACAAAATAACAGATCTCAGTATGGGTTGGGGGGTGAGGGGACAGGAAGAGATTAACTGAAGAACATATATGCATGTATGTTTAACCCATGGGCATAGACAACAGTATGGGGAAGGCCTAGAGTGGGCAAGGGTTGGGTAGAGGACGCAAAAAGGAGAAAATGGGAGACATTTGTAATATTGTCAACAAAAAAGAAAATTATAATTTTATAATGCGAACATACAATAAAAGAGTTGGGATACTTACGTTTTGCCCATAATTTGACTGCTCTCAGGGTGAGTCTAAAAGTTTCTTTATTTGGCACTAAATGCAAAATTTCATCAGTAACTCTACATCCTGAAAAAGATAAAGCATTCATATTTCATTATGCAACAAAAACCCAGTTAATTCAAAGACTTTCATTTAAAGAATTAAATTCATTTAAATAATTCAAAAGCATATGGGTAAAGCAATCTAATACTAAAATAAGAGAAAGGTCTGACTATCTTTTTAGCATTCTTCCACATTTGACTTGACTGTTAATTAAATATCCCAAGTTATAAGAGTGTTATTGCTTTAATGCAAATCTTATTCACAAACACTGCGATTTACTGTTGCACTCTGGAAAGAGCAAAACACAATGATTCAGTTAAACAAAAGATACTATGAACCAGTAGTTCTCAAAGTATGGTCTATGGACCCCAGGGAATCTTTAAATCAAACCTATTTTATAACTGCACTAAGGCTTTCTTTGCCTGTTTCACTGTGTTAACATGTGCATTGAAAGAAGTGGTGGGTAAAACTGCTGGTACGTTAGCAGTAAATTAAAGCTGTAGCAACACTGTACTAAGCATTAGACAGACATTTGCAGTTAGAAGAGAGCTATGGAATCTGTACGGATATTTGAACATGTTTGAAGCAAGCTGAGCTACCCGTTTTTTGTGTGTGTGTATGTTTTTTTTTAAAAAGGAATACCAACTTTATTTGAAATAATGATTGACAGACAACTATGGCTATTCATGCTTGAGTATTTAGCAGATATTTTCTAAAAACAAAACAAAGTGAGCCTTATATCAAGGAAAACAAATGACAATATTTGTTGCCAATAATAACATTTGAGCTTCCAAGTAAAAAATTAGAATTATGGATAACTAATATCTGTTACTGTAAACTTGACAGCATTTTAATACTTAGACTTGTCTGATGATATTCGATATATTAATAAATGTAATTTTGATTTTATAACAAAATGTGAGTTAACATTTACAAGAGCCAAATAACTTTGTGAACCAGAATTTTCCAAATGATCAAGGCATCATCGTACAAAATCAAGCATGGGTAAAATCCAATTAAAAAACAAGACAGACCAATGCATTTTTTTAAATATATATTTTATTGATTTTTCACAGAGAGGAAGAGAAAGAGATAGAGAGTTAGAAACATCGATGAGAGAGAATCATCTATCAGCTGCCTCCTGCACACCTTCCACTGGGGATGTGCCCACAACCAAGGCACATGCGCTTGACCGGAATCGAACCTAGGACCCTTTAGTCAGCAGGCCAACGCTCCATCCATTGAGTCAAACCGGTTTTGGCAGACCAATGCATTTTTAATGTAACAGTTCAAAAAATTAACTGATATGATTTTAGATTAGATATTCTAACTAACCTTTTGAAAAAGATAACTTTTACTCAGCAATAAAAGGAGAAAACTACTAATATATACTACAAACACAGATGTATTTCACAAACATTGTAAATAAAAGAAGCCAAACACATAAAATTAATGTTCACCAAAACCGGTTTGGCTCAATGGATAGAGTGTTGGCCTGCAGACTGAAAGGTTCGATTCCAGTGAAGGGCATGTACGTTGGTTGCGGACACCCCCCAGTAGGGGGTGTGCAAGAGGCAGCTGATCGATGATTCTCTCTCATCGATGTTTCTAACTCTCTATCACTCTCTGTAAAAAAACAATAAAATATATTTAAAACAAACAAACAAACAAAAAAACCCGTAACGTTCCCATTTATATGAAATGTCCAGGTAAGGCAAATCCATAAAAAGAAAAAATATATTAGGGGTTGCCTGGGATTGAGGATTTGGAAAAGGGAATGATTATAAATAGGTATGAGGGATCTTTAGAGGATGATGAAAATGTTCCAAAATTCAATTGTAGTGCACAACTCTAAATATACTAAAAACTACTAAATTGTATACCTAAAAAGAATGAATTTTTTTGTATGTAATTAGACCTCAATAAAACTGTGGAAAAGAAAAAAAAACAAAAACTGTCACCGGTCAAGTTCTAGTGTAATATCAAAGAATATCGACAATTATCTTCCCTATTCCAATTATATATCTCTTCCCATGCTTCAATCAAAACAAAATATTATAAGAGATTGACTATAAAGGAGATATGAAAATCTAGCTATATTCTATTAAAAAGATGTGCAAAAATGCAAACCAAAGCCATTGTTCACACAAAAATTTTTACTGTTATTTTAAAATGAACACACACTTTAAAACTTTCTCGATTTTTATTTCTGATATGGTAAATATTGACCATATTAGATGGTCAGTATTAGATATAACCCACATAAACAAAAGATCTTTGGGGTCTTCAATAAATTTTTAAAGTGCAAACCGGTCCTGAGACCAATACTTTTGAGAACCACTATTACAAACATCAACAACATTCAAACAAGTTTCTTTTAAAGATGTTTAAATGTGGTCAGAGAAATGTGTACAGAGAAAATTACATCATTTTAAAAATGATTTAAAAGTCCATTACTAGTTCTGCAAAAAGATTTTTGTTTTCAGGCAGATGGCTGAGATTTCTTTTTAGAAGCTTACCATTTAAGCTGCGAATACACCTTATATCAAGGCTTCTCAGTCGAGAGTCATCTCTTAGATCTAAATTATCTGATATGGTTTGTATTGCCAGTCTTGCAAAAACTAGGTCAATCTTTGGAAAGATGCAAAAAAAGAGAAAAATATTATTTTCTCTCCTTCTAGTCCATTCTCCCCTTTCCCCACCTTAAAAAGGTAAAATGTTGTAATTATTAGTTTTAGAAGTTCTCTAAAACTTCAAAAGGCCTATGTAGGCAATCTCAAATGCAAAAATCACTGAAAACTTTTGTGAGGGCAACTGAATCTTCAAATTAAGGGAAAGCATTTTAATTTTAACATATATGCCAAGCACTAAAAACAAACAAACAAACAAACAAAAAACACATCAACTTAAGACCTTACAAGTGAATTTCTAGATAAAGGTGACAAATCCAACACACATTTATATTCACTTCCTCTTGAAACCTGTCTAAAATACGAGCACAATTTTGTTTTGTTTTTATTTAGTTTTAAATACATAATGCAATAGGACAAAGGAAAATATGAGACAATAACAAAAATTATGAAAGCTGGAAAGAGATTGACTATAAAGGGTAAGTGGGTAAGTGGTAACAGACTCAGCAGATCTCAAATAGCAAAGATTAAAAATATCTATAACCAGGAAATAAGGACAAAAGACTATAAATACATACATAATAAAGAGGAATATTTAAGAGAATAAAAAAACTCTTAGAAATTAAATATGTGACAGCAGAAATGGAAAACAATAGAAAGTTTGGAAGAGAAAACCACAAATAGTAGAACAAAAATATGAAGATGTGGCCAATAAGTGGAAGGAAAAATTTTGGAGAAAAAAAGGAGGGGCGGCAATCCTAGAGGTCCAGCACACAAATATTTAGGAGCTCCAGAAAGGAGAGAAGAAACAAAGGCAGGAAATCCAGTGGAAGTCAATACAATTTCTAAGAACTGAAGGGCAGGAGTTTCTAAGTTGAAAGAGGACTACTGAATACCTAGCATATCTGATTGAAAAGACATATACTAAACTATATCACCATGAATTTTACAACTGTGAAGACTAGAAGGAAAAAATCATGTAAGTGTCCAAAGAGACAAAATAGATTACATACAAAGGATGAGGAATTAAAATGGCATCACACTTTTCAACATAGCATGGAAGCTAGAAGACAATGAAGCAAGGCCTTCAAAATTGTTAGAACTATTACTTAGCCAAACTACCATTTTGGTGTGAGAAAAGTACACATTTTAAATATGCAAGATCTAAAAAATGTGTGCTTTCTCAGGAAGCTAGTGGGTGAGTGGCACTAAAATGAGAGTTAAGAAAGAAAACTTTAGAGAGAGGCAAGAGGAAATCCCAGGATGATAGTAAAAAAAGAAAAGAAAAGAAAAAAAAAGGTGTTAGGATGTCAGGTGGATCAGCCATGGAGAATAATCAGTGTGAATTAGAACAGGTGAGAAGATTCTGAGATATTTTTTCATAATGATGACAGAATACTTGAGAAATTAAAGGAGATTTAGACAACTATGACAGGGGGGTTTGAATTAGTCTTAAAAATAAGGCCCAAGTGCTGAAACCGGTTTGGCTCAGTGGATAGAGCATCGGCCTACAGACTGAAGGGTCCCAGGTTCGATTCCGGTAAAGGGCATGTACCTTGGTTGCGGGCACATCCCCAGTAGGGGGTGTGCAGGGGGCAGCTGATCAATGATTCTCTCTCATCGATGTTTCTAACTCTCTATCCCTCTCTTTCTTTCTGTAAAAAAAATCAATATATTAAAAAAAAGAAAAAAAAAGAATAAGGCCCAAGCAAACAAATTGCAAAACAATTAACATAATATTATTATGTTAGGAGATTATGGAAATGAGACTAGGGTAGGGATGAAAGTTGGTTCATTTTCCATCAACAGATAGAAGAGAGAGATGTGAGGGTCTATTTAAAGACTATTTGATTAGTTAAAATAGATTTTTAAGTCTTATTTAAAAAAAAAAGAAGAAAACTCAAAGAGCCCTAATGGATTAAATAGTTCAACTGTAAAGTCAGAAAAATATTAAAAAGACTTACCTCAATTCCATCAAATTCAAATTTTATAACAGGAACAAAGGCATCTTCTACAGCCTACAAAAGAAGAAAAATTTACACACACACACACACACACACACACACACACACACACAAACACACACAGTAGGTCCTCGGGTTACGACGGAGATCTGTTCCTATGGCGCTTTGCTATAACTCGGAACCCACCTACGTAAGTACCTATGTCACTCACATGGAGCACATACATAGCAGTCATGAAGTGAAACAGTAAAAAAAATTTAAAAGGTAACAATTCCTGACCTTTACTTGAGGTAAATAAATAATAAAAAACAAAAAGCACATATATACATACGTTGAAATGACAAACTTTTTTTTTTATAAATAGAGGCCCAGTGCACAAAATTCGTGCACAGCCTGCACCCTCTCCAATCTGGGACCCCTTGAGAGATGTCCGGTGGGACAGGCCTAAATGTGCAGTTAGACATCCTTCTCACAAACCAGGACTGCTGGCTCCCAACCACTCGCCTGCCTACCTTCCTGATTGCCCCTAACTGCTTCTGCCTGCCAGCCTGATCACTCCCCTAACCACTCCCTGCCAGCCTGATTGATGTCTAATTGCCCCCCTCCCAGCTTGTTTGCCCCAACTTCCCTCCTCTGCCAGCCTGGTCAACCCTAACTGCCCTCCCTTGCAGGCCTGGTCCCTCCCAACAACCCTCCCCTGCTGGCCATCTTGTATCCACATGGTGGCAGGATCTTTTACCACATGAGGGCAGCCATCTAGTTTGTTGGAGTGATGGTCAATCTGCATATTACTCTTTTATTAGATAGGATAGAGGCCTGGTGCATGGATGGGGGCCAGCTGGTTTACCCTGAAGGGTGTCCCAGATCAGGGTGGGGGTTCCCTTGGAGCATGGGGTGGCCTGGGCGAGGGGCCAGTAGTGGTTTTCAGGCCAGCCACACACCCCAGCGACCCAAGAGGAGGTCCTGGTATCTGAAACTTATTTATCTTCTACAATTGAAACTTTGTAGCCTGGAGCAGAGCCAAGCCTCCAGCTGGCTCTGTGCTGGCAGCCATTTCTGTTAGGATTTATCTATATTTTCTATAATTGAAACTTTGTAGTCTTAAGCAGAGGCCTGGGCTGGCCGGGGTGTGCAGAAAGCTTAGCTTCCTCCATTGCCGGGGAAACCCAAGACTCCCTCCTGCTCTCTCCATGGCCATAGCCATCTTGGTTGGGTTAATTTGCCTACTCGCTCCTGATTGGCTGGTGGGTGTGGCTTGTGGGTGTAGTGGAGTGATGGTTAATTTGCATATTACTCTTTTATTCAATAGTATGGGAGATGACGAAACCATGAAATGACATATATCGAGTCCTACATAACCCAAGGACTGTCTGTGTGTGTGTATACATATAGATATACACATACACATACATATACATACATACATACATATATGGCATCATCCTTTCTACATCTTTCCTATGAATGCCTTTGCTCTCTCTCTATAAACTGTAATCCTTTCTACATCATTCCTAATTACCAATAATGTGAATTCCTTTGTTCCCAATTTGCATTAAACTCAACAGAAAAAGTGAAAATGTTCTTGGCCTCACATTCTAGGTAAATACTTCTACTTTGTGACTGTGTTATTTAAGATGCACAAAATGACAGTTTTATCTATCTTAATCTCCTAAAAATATTCATCATAGACTGGCAGGCAGAATTACTATCATCTGAGTACTTATGATTGTTGATCAAATTGAAAACTGATTATTTACAAAGAGCACTTGTGTTAGAAATTAAAATACAATCAGAATTTATGATTAATCTATCAAAAATAATACAGTCAATATAGTTTGGATTTAGTAGAAAAGTCTGGGTCTTCTTTAATCCTAATATAAATTTTTTATCTTCTTCATTCCCACACACCCAAATAATGCAGAGCCTTTGAACTTCACCTTATCCTAACATCTCAGATAGTATTAGAACTATTCACTCGGTTAGTCCCCCCAACCCCTTCTTCCCATAAACTATGTCTTGTTCACTTGTATTTGTGGGACTAAGGCTAATGTCTGATGGATCATTAGTGTTGAAACTAATTTGCTGAATGAATGGCTATATATAAAAGCCCAGCAACTAAATAGTGGAACTACCAGAACAATCTGTCGACCAGTTGCTATGGTGTGTACTCACCACCAGGGGCACATTCTCAACGCAGGAGCTTCCCCCTGGTGGTCAGTGCACTCCCACTGTGGGAGCACCGCTCAGCTGACCAGGATGAATGGCGCTCCCACAGCAGGCTGATCACTGCAGGCCACGCCCCCACAAGTGCACGAATCCGTGCACCGGGTCTTGACTATACATATGAAGGGTTACTACTAATTAAACTTTATGTATGTAAATTATTTCATGGGTCCTCAAAAAACTTTATAAAAATGTTATTTTACACCATCTCCATTTTACAAGAGAGGAAAACAAAGGCTCAGAAAGAATGGGTAGTGACCAAAATCTAAGAGCTAATATTTGGTAGATTTCTAGATTCAAATCCAGATGTGTAAAATGATAAAGCCCATGTTATTAATCATTATCCATTATTTTAACAAGATAGAGTAACTTTTTAAGAAATATTTCAACAATCGTAAGCCCTAGCTGCTTTTAGAATTTTATTAACAAGTTCAAGATACTAAATACCAGAGGACACTTACTCTTAAATTTCTAATGCCGTCTTGGTGCTTCAATTTTTCAAAAAAAGACTGAAAAAAATCAGATCTCTCCACATGTCTTGGAGCTACACAAAGTGCATCAATGTCAGCTCCTACAAATCAAAATATTTCTTATGAATTAGTGCATATTATGTATCATATTTTTGTTAAGTACACACAAACAGGTAAAAGAAAATATGTAATGATAGAAAATGCTAATAATAATTAGTTCTGAGTAGTGAGATAATGGGAATTTTTCTTCTGTATTTTAAAATTATGAATAAATAAAAGTTTGTTAGTGAACATTTTTATTAGTAAAACACAGAAAAGCCCGTTACCTTTGGTATGTACTCCAAGCCTATAGGAGCCAAAAGTGAAAATTTTACCACCAACAGCAGCCACAACAGAAGGTGGTAGATTCTAAAATAAAATTAAACAAAAAGCATTCAATTATTCAAATTATTTAGCATAAAAGTCACCTAACTGCTACAGATACATACTGTATTTGTCACCTTAAATAAGCTGAGATGTGTACAAATATTTCAGACCTCTTTTGGTTCCAACTTGAATAAGGAGGGAAGACAAAAATCCATGCCCACTACACATGTACACATCTCTATATAAGAAAAATACTTTTTATCACATGACCCTACTTGTCCTCTCCAATTGCATATCTTTGGCTCCTTCCTCTCAATAGTCACAAGAAATTTTACCCAACTAATTCGTACTTTCAGCTCTCTATATTATCACTAGAGGCCTGGTGCATGGAATTCTTGCATGGGCAGGGTCCCTAGGCCTGGCCGGCTATCAGGGCTGATCTGGGCCTCCCTTCCAAGTCGCCCCCTCGTGTTCAGTGCATGTAATAGTGAGCAGTCGAACTCCCACAGGGACAATTTGCATATTGGCCTTTTATTATATAATACTCTTGACTAATCCCATTTGCCCTTTTTTTTTTTTTTTTAATGACAGATAAGCTTAATATCTTGATCCTAGCTCAGCAACCTTTCTGCCCATACTTATACTCATTTTTCATCTTTTTGGCTCACAATTTAGTATATACCACCTCCTTAATTCTAGGATATTTAAGAGTATCATAAAGCTACCTCTTGCCCTTAGTCCTTATTTTCTCTTATTCCACTGTGTACAAAATTCACTGATTGATATTCTTAAATTACTCTATTATAACTCTTCTACCCAATACACTCTTCCCTGACCACTGAGGTAAGGATCCTTGGATCCTAAGGAAGTTCACAATATGCTCATATGAATCTTTCTTGCCTCATTTCCTGACCTTCCCTTCTGAAGATCCAACTGCCAACATGTCACACCATCCAGTCTCTCCATTGCATTTGCCATTTTCCCTGCCTTGAATGTTTGCCCATCTCAATACCATTTATTTTTCAAAGTTCACTTCAAGTTCCACCTCTTTCATGAAGCCTTTCTTAATTATTTTCCCCTCCCCCGCCACTGCTCCTCTATTATCTTTAACCCCTTTTATACTATATTTAGTGATCTTCCTTTTTCTGTCCGTAAGTTCCACTTCTTCAACTATATTTAAATCCCTTAGAAGGTGAGAATGGTGCCTCCAACAACTCTTATTTCCCCACAATGCCCAGTGCAAATTCCAAAGAATAGTATCTGCTGATTAACTTGAATAAAAATATCTGTATAACAGGATATTGTTGTTACTTCCTCTGCTTAATAAATAATGTTTCAAGGTCCAGTGCACAAAATTCGTGCATGGTGTGTGTGTGTGTGTATGTCTCTTAGCCCAGCCTGCACCCTCTCTAATCTGAGATCCCTCTCATAATCCAGGACTGCTGGCTCCCAACTGCTTGCCTGCTTGCCTGCCTGCCTGCCTGATTGCCCTTAATTGCTTCTGCCTGCCATCCTAATCGCCCCCTAACCATCCCCTGCCAGCCTGATAGACACCAACTGCCCTCACCTGCAGGCCTGGTTGCCCCCAATTGCCCTCCCCTGCAGGCCTGGTTGCCCCCAAAGTTGCCCTCCCCTGCAGGCCTGGTCCCCCCCGAACTGCCATTCCCTGCAGGCCTGTTCTCTCCCAACTGCCCTTCCTTGCAGGTCTGGCCCCTCCCAATAACCCACCCTTGCTGGCCTGATCGCCCACAACTGCCCTTCCCTGCCAGCCATCTTGTGTCCACATGGAGGCAGCCATCTTTGACCACATTAGGGTGGCCATCTTGTGTGTTGGAGTAATGGTCAATTTGCATATTACTCCTATTAGATAGGATAATTTTACAGCTAGAATGGAGTTAGTAAATTTATTGATGACTAATGTAAATCAAAGTATAGAGAAGCAAGGACCTTTTATTTTACCCTCTTCCTAACACCTTCCTACTTTGAAAAACACGATTCTTATATGACATGAGAAAGTAACACACCAAATATCTGAGTAAAATATTTTTGCCACAAACCTACTAACTAAAATAATTTGTTTTGGAGTTACAGACTGTTTAAATATCCCAATTGTGTAGAGAATATTCAAATAATCTTTTTAAAAATATATATTTTATTGATTTTTTACAGCGAGGGAGACTGAGGGATAGAGTTAGAGACATCAATAAGAGAAAAACATCGATCAGCTGCCTCCTGCACACCCTCTACTGGTGATGTGCCCGCAAACAAGGTACATGCCCTTGACCAGAATCGAACCTGGGACCTTTCAGTCCGCAGGCCGACGCTTTATCCACTGAGCCAAACGGGTTTCGGCTCAAATAATCTTGATCTAACTCAAATCCTTCAGATATTTTCCAAACTAAAACATGCATAAATGAAAAAATTATAATTGATACATAAAATGACCACTTTATCCATGCGATAGAAGATGTTAAAATCAATTTAAATTCTTAAATAACTAGATACTTTATTTACTTTGCTTTTGAAAAAAGTCAAGTTGTGGCAAAGTCTCAAAATTTTAACAATGGTTTTATGCCTAGATTTTGAATGAAAACCAGCTACAGGGTTTTTATAGATTAAAGACCAAACTGATTAAAATGAAATAAAAAGCAATTTTATTAATTAAAAAAATTTTGACCTAGAAAATCTCAAATTGTACTAGATTTTTCTTTTAAGTGCAAAGATACCATGCAGTAAAAAAACTAGGTCATCTCTCAACAAATTAATCTAACTCTTTTTGCTAATAAATGTACCCTTGAATGGGGATGGAAACAAAGACCTTTGCACAATCACAATAGCTGACATAAAGACCATACACAAAAAGTTCTGAAGCTGGTTACTCTGATTTTAAAATATTTCTAGCAAGTTGGGTATTTGGTTTGCACACCCATTGAAATTATGGACTGATTAGAGAGGGACAACAGGTTTCCTTAACATATTTTTAAATATATATTTTACTTATTCTTTTAAAAGAGAGGAAGGAAGAGGGATAGAGAGCTAGAAACATTGATGGGAGAGAATCATTGATCAGCTGCCTCCTGCAAACTTCCCACTGGGGATGTATCTGCAACCAAGGTACCTGTCCTTGACTGGAATTGAACCTGGGACCGATCCATTGAGCCAAACCCGTTAGGGCTTCCCTAACATTTATTTAATGTCTGAGCCCTGTCCTGGTGTTGTGCAGGTGAACAAGACAGGCCTTTTTCTTAAGAAGTTGATCAACTAGTAGCAGAGATATAAATATGAATTCTTTTTATTATTCATTATGACTAGCATTTAACTTGCTCAAAATACAACTTATCTGAAAATTTCAACTATTGATAACCCTACTGAGAGCTCAGAAATGAGCCAGTAGCCATTTAGCAGCAAAAGTAAACAGAATAAAGATCATTTATCTAAAGCCAATGACTACAAACTTAATAGAGTCCCTCATAATCTTATTTATAATTTTGTTTAAAAGAACTCAATTTTAAATATGTATCATAGGTACAGAAAGAAATAATAAAAGTTGTAAAGAAAAGAAGTCTAACAGATGTTTATGTAATTTCTAAACCCATGCAGAGTAGAAAGTGAGTTTGTAGACACAAATTGACTGCTTTCAGACATTAACTTTCAGCTGACTGCTGTTAAGGGCAAGATGGAAAAACTATAAAAAACAAACAAAAACCTTAATATACAACAGTTTGGGCCACTTAATCAAAGGACAAATAGTATCACCAGTTGGAACATCCCTACCTCATTTTAGTACAGTCAGTAATATAATATTCATAATGATGATTCTCAAATGAAAATACAGTTATATTAAAAATACAAAAGCAAATATATAATTAATTTTAGAAGAAAAATAGTTAAACTACCACAGGAGAAAAAGTTGTATAATTATAAATTAGGATTTGCAAATTTCTATGTCTCAGGGGTCACGTAGGTATGCAAATGAGGAAAATATCCTTAAGACACAAAAAAACTGACTGATAAATGACAGGCGCTGCTTCAGAGAGGGCAGGGAGTGGGGAAGCTGTGAGACATTCCTGCAGAGCAAAAGCCCAATTCCATTCAAGCCTCTTCCTGCCTTCCACAAAGGCAGGCCCAGTATTGCCAGAGCTGATATTTCAGAAGAAGTCCCAAATCTGGCTTTTTAAATAAAGCATCTTAATATTTATTCTTTTATTTTTTCTTTAAATATATTTTATTGATTTTTTACAGAGAGGAACAGAGAGAGATAGTAACATCGATGAGAGAGAAACATCGACCAGCTGCCTCCTGCACACTCCCCACCAGGGATGCGCCTGCAACCAAGGTACATGCCCTTGACTGGAATCAAACCTGGGACCCTTCAGTCCGCAGGCAAAGTATCTTAATATTTAAATTGTGGCCCACTACTGTGAGTCATGCAAGATATTTATGTAGAGTTTTAGCTAATTGGCTACCTCTGAGGTAAACCCTCATTTTTTTTTTTTTTTTAGATTCAATTGTCCAGACCAATTCATTACCAAGTATATCAAAGAGCCAGTTTTAATGTATTTCAGATTATTCTCAACTTCTAAATCTTATTACCAGGACTAAAGAAGAGGATGTAATGACACTATGAATTCAATGCAGTTTTAAAAGTCTTACCTTACTCTCACTAACATCGGAAATCCATTCTTTTACTAAATTGTTCAATTTACCAAGAACAACCAGCCTATAATAAAAAAATAAAAAATAGCATGCTTTTTATTAAAAAACAAATGAATAAGCAAACAATATTTTAAAAGCAACTAAGTATATAGGCAGTACCTTTGTGTTAGTGTTAGGGTAAAGGCATATTATACACACACTAATGCTATCACCTCTCTTTGGCATTCTTAGGTCCCAAAGAGTTCCAAAGAGATAATATATATGACAGTAGTGTTTCCATCTTTGAGTTATTTTCAAAATTCAAGAAGCCTAATAAGGTCAAATTACCTTTAAGAAGACTGCAAAGGCCAATGAGTTATCAAATATTTTGGCCCTACATTGGAATAAAAATCAATTCAATGTGATAATAATAGAGATTAGCATTCTCTCATTGAAAGTTATAGGTTTTTGGATAATTAAAATGGGTAATTATTGGCTGCTTTTTATGAATATTCTTAATAAATGCAAATTGATATTAAAACAAATTTGCAACCAATGGCATATCCAAATCCATATTAAAAGAAAGAAGAGCCTAGCTGGTTTGGCTCAGTGGATAAAGTGCCAGCCTATAGACTGAAGGGTCCCAGGTTCGATTCCCATCAAGGAAATGCACCTTGGTTGCAGGCGCATACCTGGTGGGGAGTGTGCAGGAGGCAGCTGGTCGATGTTTCTCTCATCAGGCCTGGTCGGGGCACACGCAGGAGGCAACCAATCAATGTGTTTCTCTTTCCCTCTCTCTAAAAATCAATGAAAAAAATATTCTCAGGTGAGGATCAAAAAAAAAAAAAAAAAAAAAAAAGAAAGAAAGAAGTAGAGTTTAAGCATCTTAATGATAACATGAAAACCTGGATTCCTGGGTCTGCCTAAACTTGCTTCTCCCTCAGCCATCCCCACGTAATGAAATTCCATCCTTCACAAGGTGCCAAGACCAAAAACCTTGGCATCATTTTTGATCCTCTCTCCTCTTTCTCTCTCTCACATTCCAGTCATCAGACTTTACCTTTAAATCATATCCAAAATTCTACTACTTATCATCACCATTGCTAGTCACCACCATTTCTTCCCTGATTATATTAGCCTTCCAACTAATTTCTCCAGTTAAGACTCGATCTCTCTTCAGACTATTATTCTCAATATAGCAGCCAGAGTGACTGTATTAAATATGAGTAAATCATGTCAATCTTCTGGTCAAAACCCTAATAGCTTCCCATTTCACGCAAAGTAAAAGTCAAAACTTTTGTTTTTTGTTAATCCTTACATGAGGGAGTGGGAGAGGGGGAAGGAGATAGGGGAGGGGAAGGGGAGAAACATGGATGTGAGACACACTGATTGGTTGCTTACCACATGTAATCCAGGGATGGAACCTGAACCTAGGTCCATGCCATTGATTGGGAATCAAACCAGTACCTTTTGGTGTGGGGCCTGATGCTCTAACCACTGAGAACACCAGCTAGGGCAAAATCAAAACTTATAATGGCTTACAATGTACTAAGTGATCTTCCCCCTCTGAACTCCTTTCTACCTCACTTTCCTTAAACCCACGTTCCCTACTTACTCTGCTTTAGACACCAGGCCACCTTGCTATACAGTCCTTAAAGCAGGTGCACTCTAACCTCAAGCCTTCTGCCTAGAATGCTCTCCCCTCAACTATTCACATAGTTCCTTCATTTTCAAATTTTTCGTGAAATGACAATGAATCCTTCACTGACAACCTCCATTCCCAGCTTTATTTTTCTCAGCATCACTACTCTTTCCAATATTCATCACATGTAACAAGTATTTATTTTTCTTATTTGGCTATGTTAGTCTCCTTCCCTAACAATCACCTAAAATATAAATTCCAGGAACGCCAAGATTTTTCTTCATTTGTCCCTTTAAAAAAAATGTTTAGGCAGGGACATAATAGGTACCTGGTATATGTGTTTATAGAATTAATGATTAAATAACATACTATAAAATATTTTTATGTGACATACCTGTGGTTCAATTCTTCCTCATCTTCAAAAACTCCAAATGGTTTCATGGCATCAATTAATTTCTGTGTGTAAATGTGATCAATTTCTTTAGGACATGCCAAGCTAATTGGAGAAGTGATTCCATAATGCTTTTGTTTACGCTGGCTGTCCAGCACGGTGTTTCTGTTCAAGAAAAATTAAATAGCAGAAGAAATTTAGAGCATCATATTATACCGATATATTGAATATCTCAATTCATTTGTTAACTTAGCTACCTTAAAAGTTTACTTATTAGCAGTAACTGCCGGTGAAGACATTTTTTTTTAAAGGAAAAAAGGGTGTTTTGTGTTTATATTGATGAAAGGCTATTCATACCATCTTCAGCTTTCATGGCTGCATGTCTTTTCAAGTCAAAAGCAGCATGTGTTGGCCATCAGGACAACTGTGCCAACACCACTCAGCTCAAATTCAAAGAACCTGGATAGGAGTTGGGCTACGGCTACCTCTAATACACCCTACAGACCTAAGTCAAGTGCCATCTAGAGTCAATCTCTGAAGCAGTCAGCCACTTGAAAGAAAATAAGTAAAAACTATGTTTTTCCCTCCCTCAGGAAAGAAATAAAAACATTCCATTAGAAGGTCCTTGTGAAATATTCTTACTTATAAAAAGAAATCACAAATAGATTTGTCTCTGAGATACCCAACTTAAGATCTATTGCTTGAATCAGAGTTTAATAGTCCTAACATTTTGTGAGCACCTTCATGTAGACTGGTACCCAGACCATTATCATACTGAATAATTATAAAATTCTTTACACTAAATGGCAACCAGTTATAGAATATAAGCTCCTCTTGAAAAGATCCTAGACATCAGGAAATTACAGTCTTGAATATAGCACAATAGAATTTCTGAGATTTTGGATTTACACAGACTAATAATTTCAAAACAAAACTTGGGACCAACATGGGTTAGTAAAATTTGTAACTATAATAAAAAGGAAAAGTAAAAACAAACATACAAAATAACCAACTAATCCTATCACCTATCTTAGGTATCCTTTCACTAAGGACCATTACACCTACATTAAGAATGTAATCTCATCCTAAGAAATCAGAAGCATCAATCAGAAACAATATATGCACCCATATGTTCATAGCAGTACAATTTTTAATAGCTAAGATTTGGAAACAGCCTAAGTGCCCATCAGCAGATGAGTGCATTAAAAAACTGTGGTACATCTACACAATGGAATACTACACTGTTGTAAAAAGGAAAGAACTCTTACCATTTACAACAGCATGAATGGACCTGGAGAGCATTATGCTAAGCAAAATAATCGAGTCAGAGAAGGATAAGTATCACATGATATCACGCATTTGTGGAATACAATGATCAACATAAACTGATGAACAAAAATAGATCCAGAGACACAGAATCACCTCAGGGGGAAGGCTGGGGAGTGTTGAGGGGATAAGAACTTGTATGCATTTAAGCATAATGATGGACACAGCAATGGGATGGAATTGAAGGCCAGGGCGGGGGGATGGGGACAAGCTGGGAGAGGACAATGCGTAGAGGAAAAGGGGACATATGTAATACTTTCAACAATAAAGAATTTAAAAGAAAAAAAAAGGATGTAATCTCAAAGAGCAGTCTTGAGTGTGTATTGTTAATCCTCACCCAAGGATATTTTTCCATTGATTTTTAGAGAGTATGGAAAAAGAGAGGGAAAGACAAACAGCAATGTGAGAGAAACACATCTATTGGTTGCCTCTTGCACGAGCCTGGAGCAGGGCCCGGGCCAGGGAGGAGCCTGCAACCAAGGTATGTGCCCTTGACGAGACTGAACCCAGAATGCTTTGGTCCATAAGCCGGCGCTTTATCCACTGAGCCAAACCAGCTAGGGCTCAAAGAGCAGTCTTTTAAGTGAATAAATTAGCCTTGTAAACATTAACACACAAAAATACATGATTGTTTAATTGTTTTTGAATTTTAACTGGTCAAAACTGACTTATCACATGCTCTTTGGTTAAAAAATTCATTAGGTAGGGAGAGACAATCAAATGGAAGTTAAATAGCCTATATACTTTCTAAAATAATGCAAACAAACAAAGAGAAACATCAATAGAAGTGACTTTCTTTCTGGGTATTTTGTTGCAGAAAAAATAAAATTTCCATAGTTATTTCAACTTTTTTTTTTTTTTTTTTTTTTTTTTTTTTTTTTTTTTTTTTTTTTAAGATTTAGCTTTTTTACCTCTAAGAGAGCTAAAGACACATTTATTATTGTTTGGGCGTGTGTATGTGTATGTTGAATGAATGGGACAAGCTAATTATATATGATCATTCAATTAACTGCATCTTAACCCTGAGAGGTAGGTATTGAACAAGTGCCACATTACAAGTAAGTACCCAAGATCTAAAAAGATAGGAAGAATCAGAACTCCAAAACTTAAGATCTTTCCACCATTCCATTCTCCCTTCCATTACTACTTCAGTCCTGACACCACTTAAGATCTTGTGTCCCACCTTCTAAGTTCCTACTGGCAATAAAATTCCAAATCTATGATTCTGAACCTATCCCATCTGGGGGGGTTGGGAGGTTAATGAGAAGGCAAAAGAATCCCACATTCCTTTCAAGCCATAAATTTCACTTATAGCTAAACATGTTGGAGAAATTCCAGTACAAGTATACAAAAAGACAGGTACAAGAATGTTCACTGCTACACTGTAACATTAAAAACTAGAAACACGTCCCTGGCTTAGGTTATTTCTCTGGTCAGGGTAAGTACAAGAAGTAACCAATGAATGCATAAATAAGTGAAACAACAATTTGAAGTCTCCCCTCACCTTCCTCTCTCTAAAAGATTAAACCCTCCCCCCACCCCCAAGTTAGAAACAATCTAAAATAGTCACTAACAGGAAAATAATGAAATAAGGGTATATCCCTACAATGGTATACATTAGTTAATATGAATGAACTAGACCTAAAATTAGCATGGACAAAGTTCAAAGATACTATGCTGCCCTAAAGAAGCAAGCTGCAGAGTGAGAAATGGCATGCTGGTTACATAAAAGCTTCAAAACAATGCCAGTTTATGGATATACACATATAAGCATGTAGTAACAACATTAAAAACATGCGGCAAAAATCCTCCCCACCCAATTCGGGACTGTAGGGGAGAGAGGCGAACTGGACCAAATCAGAAGGTAGGAGGACCCTTCACATGTATTGGGAATGATTTCTTTCAAACCGAACTATGCCGACACACACACATACAATAACAGCTTTGGGAAAGATGGATGGTGTCTACACAAACAATGCTTACGTTATTCTTTGCATTTCCCCATTCTTTCCCAAGAAAACACGGGGTAAAAATGGTGGAAAGATCTTAAGTTTTGGAGTTCTGATTCTTCCTATCTTTTTAGATCTTGGGTACTTACTTGTAATGTGGCACTTGTTCAATACCTACCACAAAATCTCCTGCTGAGCACGGAACCTGTTCCTGACTCATCCAAGTGAGTGTGAGCAGGAGTTGCAGAGCGGTAGGTGTGCTGAGGGTAAGGGAGGTGTGCTGTGGGGAGGTGTGCTGTGGGGAGGGTAGGTGAGCTGTGGGTAGGGGTAGGGGTAGGTGTGCTGTGGGTAGGTGTGCTGTGGGTAGGGTAGGTGTGCTGTGGGTAGGTGTGCTGTGGGTGGGTGTGCTGTGGGTGGGTGTGCTGGGGGTAGGGTAGGTGTGCTGGGGGGAGGTGTGCTGAGGGTAGGGTGGGTGTGCTGGGGGTAGGGTAGGTGTGCTGTGGGTAGGGTAGGTGTGCTGGGGGGAGGTGTGCTGAGGGTAGAGTAGGTGTGCTGTGGGTAGGGGAGGTGTGTCGAGGGTAGGGGAGGTGTGCCGAGGGTAGGGGAGGTGTGCTGTGGGTAGGGTAGGTGTGCTGAGGGTAAGGGAGGTGTGCTGTGGGTAGGTGTGCTGTGGGTGGGTGTGCTGAGGGTAGGGGAGGTGAGCTGTGGGTAGGGTAGGTGTGCTGTGGGTGGGTGTGCTGAGGGTAGGGGAGGTGAGCTGTGGGTAGGGGAGGTGTGCTGGGGGGAGGTGTGCTGAGGGTAAGGGAGGTGTGCTGAGGGTAGGGGAGGTGTGCTGGGGGGAGGTGTGCTGAGGGTAGGGGAGGTGTGCTGTGGGGAGGTGTGCTGAGGGTAGGGGAGGTGTGCTGTGGGTAGGGGAGGTGTGTTGGGGGTAGGTGAGCTGTGGGTAGGGGAGGTGTGTTGGGGGTAGGTGAGCTGTAGGTAGGGGAGGTGAGCTGTGGGTAGGTGTGCTGAGGGTAGGGGAGGTGAGCTGTGGGTAGGTGTGCTGAGGGTAGGGGAGGTGAGCTGTGGGTAGGGGAGGTGAGCTGTGGGTAGGGGAGGTGAGCTGTGGGTAGGGGAGGTGAGCTGTGGGTAGGGGAGGTGTGCTGTGGGTAGGTGAGCTGTGGGTAGGGGAGGTGTGCTGGGGGGAGGTGTGCTGTGGGTAGGGGAGGTGAGCTGTGGGTAGGTGAGCTGTGGTTAGGGGAGGTGTGTTGGGGGTAGGTGTGCTGTGGGTAGGGGAGGTGTGCTGTGGGTAGGTGTGCTGTGGGTAGGGGAGGTGTGCTGGGGGAAGGTGTGCTGTGGGTAGGGGAGGTGAGCTGTGGGTAGGGGAGGTGTGCTGCGGGCAGGTGGGCAGGGTAGGGGAGGTGTGCTGTGGGTAGGGGAGGTGTGCTGGGGGGAGGTATGCTGTGGGTAGGGGAGGTGAGCTGTGGGTAGGTGAGCTGTGGGTAGGGGAGGTGTGCTGTGGGTAGGGGAGGTGTGCTGGGGGAAGGTGTGCTGTGGGTAGGGGAGGTGTGCTGCGGGCAGGTGGGCAGGGTTGGGGAGGGCGAAAAGAGAGAGGAACGAGCCGGGTAGGTCACTCACTAAGGACCTGGAGGGAGACCTGGAGGCGGCGGGTCGGGAAGGCGGAAGGGGGACGCAGGGGGACGGCATTTGCGCCAATGCAGACTGGGGAGCAGAGACCGATCCAGATGCTGCTGGGGCGGGAGAGGGACCAGCGATTTCCCTCCACCGACGCCCTCGCCCCTCTCCCACCGCTTCCCCGCCGAGGGGCAGCCCAGGGAGAGGGGACCCGTGGAGGGAGCCCCGGAGTCCGCGGGCGCGCCGGGGCAGCCAGGGAGCCGCCGGTGGACAGGAGGTGCCCTGGCCGCCCCGGGCGGGGACGGAGCCCCCGGGCGAACTCCGGGCAGGGCGGACGGGAGTTTCCGGGCCGCCCACCCCTCGCCGCCTCGCCCCCAACGGCCGCCCCCCGCCCCTGCCGCTACTTACGCAGACGTTTCTTTCATCGCTTCCTGCGTCCCCCTCACCGGCGAGGGTCCCTCCCTCGCTCCGGAGTCCCGTCCTGGCTCTTTCCCCTCCTCCTGTCCGCTCTCCTCTGGTCGCCGGTCGCCCGCTCGCTCACTCCCTCACTCGCCACGGCCGAGGCAGCCAACCGAGTAGTGAAAACACTACATAACCGGCTCTATTTATGACAATACTACAGCGCGGACGACGCCAACATGGCGGCGCTTCCCAGCCTGCCCCTCGCCCGCGAGGCCCCGCCCCCTGGACGCCTGGTCCGCCCCACGCCCCGCCCCCTCCTCTCTGGGGTCGCCGGAGGCTCCACTGGCTCTGGCCACGCCCCCTCATCTCTGGCCACGCCCCCTCCTCCCGGGTGGGCGCGGGGCGGCTCCGTTGGCCCCGCCCATAGGGGGGGCGCAGGCTCGGGCTGCAGCCCTCGGTAGGAAAGAGCCTTCTTTGGTCTTCTTCCTCCTCTTTGTCGGCGGGACTGTTAATCCAGGCAAGCTGCCTGGAAAGTAATTTGGAACATATTTTTCTTGTTTTTCTAATGAGAGCTTGGAGCATCTATTTTTTTTTTTTTTTTTTAAAGATCCGAACCTTGCCTAGCAAATACTGTTTTTAACCCTCCTAGTAGTCCACATCTTTAAGGAATGGTCCTCAGACGTCATCAATCCACTTGCTGCGATTCTGTCGTGAGAGGGTCCCATCCAGGAACGTGTAACTTTGCAGTTACCCCAGGGGAAAAGCAAGCTTGTAAATTGCAGGTTAATTGTTCAGGACAGTTAATGAGGGAGGTTGAGAGCAAGCGCTAGCAGTTGGCAATAGGAGGATACAGGTAAGGCAGACTGAAAAATCTTACACTTTCAAATAGTAGAGATCACGTTCCGTGTGATGTGTGAGGATGAACACGGGAAAATGATGACGAATTTTAAAATGCTGAAGCGTGGAAATAATGTAAAATACTAAAAAATCATTACAAGAAAAAGGATGTCAAGCAGCTGCTATTCTTCCCCCTCTTTCCCCCCCCCCCCCCCACGGGTGTGACTCAGAGACACAGTAAATAGAGGAGATTACTTATAGAATTATTCACTTACTGAAAAATATTTATTGAAAGCCTAGCCTGTGCCAAGCACGGTTTAGGCTCCAGTGATTTCATGGTGCATAAAATCAGACGTGTTGTTTAACTTCGTAAAGTTCAGAGTTCAGTGAGGAAATCAAATATAAATAGTAATCTTCTGTTGCAGAACTAAAGCACCTACAATGTGTCAGGCAGGGGCGATACTTAATTGCTGCGTTCAAGGGCTCGCGGTCTAGTAGAGAAGAAAAATGATGCCCAGAGTCCAATGGACTACACGTGGTCTGTGATACAGACGGGGCCAGGGAACTTAGGGAGGCCTAAAGAGGGCCGCCTAAACTTGGGGGGCGGGGAGAGTGCTCAGTAGTGCCTAGAGGAGGGCATGCTGCCTGAATTAGAGATTTGGAGTCGAGATTGGATGCAGGTGGTAGGGAGAAGGCAAATCTTACTCCAAGCAGCAGAGAGTGTAGCTAGCACATACTTCAGGGTGAGGGAGACTCAAATTTGAGTTATTGTTTTACTAGTACCAGTTATGTGGCCTCAGGAAAATTAACCTTAGAAAGCCCTTTCCGCCCTGGCCGGTTTGGCTCAGTGGATAGAGTATCAGCCTGTGGACTGAAGAGTCCCAGGTTCGATTCCAGGCAAGGGCACATGCCTGGGGTTACAGGCTTGATCCCCAGTAAGGGGCGTGCAGGAGACAACAAGTCAATGATTCTTTCCCATCGTTAATGTTTTTATTTCTCTCCCTCTCCCTTTCTCCCTGAAATCAATAAAAAGATTAAAAAAAAATAAAGCTCTTTCCTTAATTGTAAAATCAAAATAATAAGAGAATTAAAGGAGAAGAGTATGTTTTACTGTATGATTCTCAAAATTCAGACACAAGAAATATTACTTTATTTTCTAACAGTTTTTTGTTTGTTTGTTTGTTTGTTTTTTACCCTGAACCCCTTATTCTTCTGAGCTGACAGACAAAGGCAATCTTGGCCATCCCGTGTCTCTCCCTCCCCAATGTTTAAGATGGTGCTAAGGTATTGTGTTTAGTTGTTTTTCTTCCCATTTTCTTCTCTTTGTGAATCTGCCTGGGGTTGAATGCCAGTCCTTAACCCCATTTCAATAAGGAAAATTTCAAGAAATAACATTTTCCTTTTTGGGGGGAGGAGTGTAGCTGTATTTTTTTAAGCTAAAAATTTCCAGTTATAAAAATAACTCATGCTTGTTTAAAAAAAAAAAAAAGTGAAAATCTGTCTCTCCCTTTCTTTCATAGTTTTATTCCTCAGGGAACTGTTATTAACAATTGGGTATTTATCCCTCTGAAATGTTTTCAATATACCCCAAACTGCATGTAAATATGTACCATAGTGTTTTTTTTATTTTTATTGTTTCTGTAATTTTAAAAAGGGGGAGATTAAAAATTGCGGCAGAGTAAGTGGATGCTGCATGGACATGCTCCCAGAAACATGGAATTACAAGAGCTGGGTTTTTGAAAGAATAAACAAAATTAAAGAACCAGTAGCCAGACTCATCAAGAAACAAAGAGAGAGGACACAAATAAATAAAATCAGAAACGAAAGTTATGAAATAACCACTTACACCACAGAAATACAAAGATTGAGAAAATACCATGAACAATTCTATGTCAGCAAGGTGGACAACCTGGCTGAGATGGACAAATGCCTAGAAAAATACAATCTCCCAAAACTGAATCAGGAAATCTGAATAGGCCAATAACAACTGATGAAATAGAAGCAGTAAACAAAAAACTCCCAGCAAACAAAAGCCCAGGTCCAGACAGCCTCACAGGGGAGTTTTATCAAACATTTAAAGAGCTAACACCTATACTCTTCAAACTATTTCAAAAAATCCAAGAGGAAGAAACACTTCCAAACTCTTTTTATCAGGCCAGCATTATCCCAATTCCAAAAACAGATAAAGACACTACAAAGAATAATTACAGGCCAACATCCCTAATGACCATAGATGCCAAATCTTCAAGAAAATATTAGCAAATCAGATCTAACAGTATATTAAAAAGACCATGACTAAGTGGGATTTATTCCAGGGATACAAGTTGGTACAATATTCGCAAATCAATAAATGTGATGCATCACATAAGCAAGTTGAAAGACAAAAATCACATGATCATATCAATAGATTCAGAAAAAGCATTCGACAAAATCCAACACCCATTTTTTTATGAAAACTCTAAGCAAAATGGGAAGAGAGGGACCATATCTCAACATGATAAAGGCTATATGTGGCAAACCTATAGCCAACATTAAACTCAATGGGTTCCCTAAGAGTAGGAACAAGACAGGGATGATGTCAGCTTTCACCACTCTTATTCAACATAATACTGGAAGTTCTAGCCATGGTGATCAGACCTGAAGAAGAAATAAAAGTCATCCAAATTGGAAAGGAGGAAGTAAAACTCATTATTCACAGATGAAAGATACCACCAAAAAACTACTAGACTTAATAAATGAATTTGGCAATGTAGCAGGATACCAAAGCAACACCCAGTAATCTATGGCTTTTTTATACACCAATAATGAATTCTCAGAAAGAGTAACTAAACAAACAATCCCATTTATCATTGCAACAACAACAACAACAACAACAAATGAAGATACTTAGGAATAAATTTAACCAAGGGGGCAAAAGACCTGTACTCAGAAAACTACAGGACATTGAAAAAAGAGATAGAAGAAGAAGAAGATATAAACAAGTGGAAGAATATACCATGTTCATGGATTGGTAGAATCAACATCATTGAAATACCCATACTACCCAGGCAAACTAAGATTCAATGCAATCCCTATTAAAATACCAATGGCATGTTTCACAGAGCTAGAACAAATACTCCAAAAATTTATATGGGATCAAAAAAGACCCCAAATAGCTGCAGCAATTTTGAGAAAGAAAAAGAAAGTTGGAAGAATCACAGTACCAGATTTCAACTTATACTGCAATGCCACGGTAATCAAAACAGCCTGGTACTGGCACAAAAACAGGCATATCGATCAATAATGGAACAGACCAGAGAACCCAGAAATCAACTCAACTAATTACGCTCAATTAATATTTGACAAAGGAGGCAAGAGCATACAATAGAGTAAAGATAATCTCTTCAATAAGTGGTGTTGGAAAAATTGGACAGATACATACAAAAAAATAATGAAGTTAGACCACCAACTTAAATCGTACACAAGAATAAACTCAAAGTGGATAAAAGATTTAACTGTAAGTCATGAAACCATAAAAATCCTAGAACAAACCATAGGCAGCAAATTCTCAGACATATGTCATAGCAATATGTTTACAGATACATCTCCTAGGGCAGTGGTCAGCAAACTGTGGCTCGAGAGCCGAGCCGTGGTTTGCCACTCTGTTGACTAATGAGTTTGCTAACCACTGACCTAGACCCTCTATTCCAACGATTACAGGTTGTTGTTGTTCCTTGTGATTAAACCCCTAGGGCAAACAAAACCAAGGAGAAAATAAACAAATGGGACTACATCAAAATAAGAAGCTTCTTCACAGCAAAAGAAGCCACCAACAAAGCAAAAAGAGAGTCCACTGTATGGGAGAACATATTTGGCAATGATATATCTGATAAAGAGTTAATATCCAAAATATATAAAGAACTCATACAACTTAACAAAAGGAGGACAAACAATCCAATTTAAAAAATGGGAAAAGGATCCAAATAGACACTTCTCCAAAGAGGACATACAGATGGCCAAATGACATATAAAAAAATGTTCAGTCACTGATCATCAGAGAGATGCAAATTAAAATGACATCACCTCACACCTGCCAGAATGGCTACCATCAATACATCAAAAAATGACAAGTGCTGGCGAGGATGTGGAGAAAAGGGAACCCTAGTACACTGCTGGTGGGAATGCAGACTGGTGCAACCATCATGGAAAACAGTATGGAGTTTCCTCAAAAAAACTAAATATGGAACTGCCATTTGACCCAGTGACCCCACTTCTAGGAATATATGCTAAGAAACCCGAAACACCAATCAGAAAGAATGTATGCCTTCCCATGTTCACAGCAGCACAGTTTACAATAGCTAGGATTTTTATGTAGGTAGCATGTTTTAATCAATTACGCTCTTTGTTCTTTGGAAGCTAAAATTATCCCAACTTTGGCCAGTGGGTTTCTCTA